CCTCCGGCGGACGGCAGGCCCCCTGCCACTATTTTTAGGTTTGGCAACTAGTGGTGTGTGGTATTAGGCTTCCCCTGCCCTCAGCCTCCGGCCTCCGGCCTCCGGGGGAGTCTGGCTGCTTCCCAGAAGTGGAACATGGATAGGAGGTGTTGGTTTTTTTTTTTTTTTTTCTGGGACAAGAAACCAGGCATGAAAGTATACAGGGCAAACTGGGGTGGCTACGGGCCTCTAGCTGTGTTTGTTAGCCCGTATCTCCCTCTGCTTGGGAGAGAGAACGCCCAGCGGTGGGCGGTGCCATCGGACTGAGGGAAGCCCCTAGCTTAGCACTGGCGAGGGGAGGGGAGGGGAGAGGGTGAATGCTTCCATCCTTGACCTTGGTCTCCACCATTTTGCTGGTGTCCGTTCTTTGCACTGCCTCTAGCTCCTACATGCAGAACATCTAAAGAACATGTAATTGTAAGAATGCAATAATAACACCTGGGGGTTTTAAATCATAGGTTCCCCACTGGAAAGAGAATGGATTTTACAGTCAGCAGATGTGGGCTCAAATCCAGACTTAACCCCTCATAGGCGCCTCCTCACGGATCTGGTTTCTGTCTGTAAATGAGGGTAGTGCCTTCTTAAAACTTAGTGGGCATATTTCTTCAAATATTTATTGAGTATCTAGTCTGGTACCTGTATACAGGAGATGCTTAATAAATGTGGCTATTATTTTTAACATTAAAGAAAACTCTCTAAGCACAAGATGCCCGGACCCAGGACTCTTACTCAGCCTCGTACTGATGCTTATTTCTTCCAGGGGCACTGGAGGTGAGGCCCAGCAGGTAGCTTATTTTCAAACCCTCAGTTTTGAGTTTGCAGCATATGCTTTCCTGGCCCCAGTCATATCTCCCAAACTTAACACTTCATATCTGCGCTCCTGACTTCTACCTGCCAGTCCCAACAGCTCTTGACTTAGGGATTTTTCTCTGGACCCCAAAGTCACCCTGCCTGTGCCCAACAAGTTGGAATGTCAAGGAATCAATGGTTTTCAGGAGCAGTGCTGAGCCAATGAGTAGTAGAAGTTGGTGGGTAAGAGCCCCATCTCTATTGTCCCTCAGATGGTATAACTTAGAGCGCCATGTTCTACACGGTCTCCCAGAGTTCCTCAGAAAGACGAAGCTCCAGTTTCCTACACTTGCTAACATACTCCTCCTTGCCCCACTTCCTACTCCCCTACTGGCATTTTTTGAGACCACCTTTCAAATGAACTACTTGCACCCAAATCATTGCCTAGGGTCTCTTTCTGGGGAAACCCAAGCTAGGGCAAGCTTCAATTCTGATGTGCAGCCTCTGGGCGCTGCCTAGGTTTGTGTAAGAGAAACAGCGTGGCAGAGTGTTATTTGAAGAAAGGTAAATCTAGCTAGGACTAGATGGAGCTTGCAAAGGAACATCAGGCACATTTCTAGGATGCCAGGAGAGCTGATGTTGGAGCTGTTTATTATAAAACTGCAGCCATCTGCCCACCTGCAACAGCCGGAATATGAAAGTTCTAATCTGGGATGCAATTAAACTGTTTTCTCTCTGTTTGTGGTTACGTATTTGAAGCATAACATGCTCCAAATGGCTGATTTAAATTCATAAGCACATTGTTTTACAAATGTGGCACTAGTCCCTTGAATACAATATGTGAATTTATGCCATAGTAATACAATTGGAAGTTGTGTCAAAAGTTTTGTGTTTTCTCTTTGTTATTATTTTTTCTTTTTACATAAAGAAAACGTGTAGGACCACAGCCCTGTGAAGGTCGTTCAGGGATACTAAGAAACTCTCTATAAGCCACTTTCTAAGAAGCAATTTCCTTCTTGTCCCGTCAAACTCCCCAAAGTACCTTAGGCAAGCACAGAGCACTGGGTGTGTTTGCAAACTGCAAATACAGCAGACATTTAATTATAGTGAATTTATCAAAACTCTAATCGAGACAGGAACTCAAACCTCAGAGCTTAATTACTGTAATTTCAGATGGGTAGCAGACTCCGTCATGTGTAGCCCTTGATGCCGGAATGCATCAGGGAGATGCCCATGCACTCACTATGAATTCTGCCAGCCCAATGAGAGTGTGGAGCAACATAAATAACAATGCTAAGTGAGAACCAGGATTGGATTCCCAGTATCCATCCTTTGCTGTAATGTTTCACTGCACCAGCTCTGGACGCCTGGGAGGGCTCTTCTCAATAAGTTAGGTTGGGCAGCTTTCAGGCTCTACTGATTTTTCTTTACTTCCCACTGATCAGACAGCATGAAATTATCCATCCTCTGAAATAGCCCTTCTATCAGCATCTCCTCATTTTGATTTTCATTTAAAAGACTTTCTCTCTGATTCCCTTTTCCTTCCCATTGGGCATGCCTTGAGTGTTAGATAAGTTCCACCAAGAGGCTGGCTGGCCAAATTATCACAGTGATCTAGGGTGGAATTTTGGAGGCTAGGACCTCAGGGATCGGTATTCTTCTGAAAGTTGCTAATGATGTCTAACTTCTATTGAACAATTACCATGTGGGCCAGGTGCTGTTAATGCTGAGCATGCTGTGTTTCATCCTCAGGGCAATGCTAGGAGCTCGGTGATTTATACCCACTCAACAGATGAGGAAACCTGGAGAGGCTTAGAGGCGTTGAGTACTTCTCCAAGGCCCACAGCCAAAAGTGGCAGAGTCAGGATTCAAACCCAGGGCAGTCTGACTCCTGAGTCCATGTTCTTTCCCAAACCCCATTTTTCCTCCTCCGCAAAGACTTCTGGGATTCTATAAAGCCCTGCAAAAGAGAGGAGGAGTGCCAGGAGGAACAGTTGGCCCCAAAGTCATCATGTGGACTCTGGGCTCAGTCATGGCTGCTACTTCTCTCCGTGGTCACGTGTGGTCGGGAGACATGCCAAGCAGAAACCTTCCAAAGGAGATCAAGTGACCAACAGCAGCCTTAGCTGATGTGCAGGAGGCAATCTGCCTTTTATGCAGGTGTTCTTACCAAACTCTTGATTAACTGCATTGCTGGTCAATTATAAAACACAAATGCATCCAAACCATTTCCTAAGTAATTAGTTGCTTGGCATTTACTAAACACTTCCCGGCTATTTGTTTAATTTCTTTACATTATTTCTCCCCCTGTGGGCTTGCTTTGGAATCAAGCTTCAGGTACAAATGAGTAATGAACTAATGACAACACTAATAACGGCCAGGCTAATAATCATACTACTAACGGTGACAAGGTTAATGAAGAGAGTGCTGCCAGCAGCAGACTCTCCTGCTACATTTGGCGATCCACCCTGTCAGATGAGGAGAAGGCGTCCAAAGCGGATCAGTGCCAAAGGCACCGAAGGCAAACGCAGAGACGCATTTTTTTTGTACCAACTACATTTCTAGGAGTTTCTCAAAATCACAGTATTATGGGCCCACACGATCTAAGATGAGATATAATTGACCAAAAGGATGAGAAAAAAGAAAATGTTCCATCTGCCAAGTTGGGCAGAACCCAATCACCATTCATGGAAAAGGCTTTCCAGGAGCCACCTTCTCAGAAGTACCCTGTCCCTCATGGGCTCCAGAGCCGGATTCCTAATGAGATAAAGATGTCCCACAGAAGCAACTAGCCCAACAGGCAACCTGGAGAAATCAACCTGCATGAAGGAGACGATGTAAGTGAAATATGTGAGCATGAAGAACAGTAAAAGTGCTCCAGAGTGTGTCAGAGAAAACACATTAGAGAAACAGGCAGTACTGGGTACCCCTGGCCAGCTGGCTGAAAGACGGAAGGTTCTGGAAAAGGGTGCTGTAAGAAGGGCTCGCCAGGACATCATGGCTCTTTTTACTCTTCAAACCAGCCAGCCGCCTTCAGCAGGACACTGCATCCTCCATATTGAGGGAGGCGATTAGGACTACCAGGTTTCTAAATGTAAGTGTGGAGTCCTTCAATGCTGCAAGTGGTTAATGTACTCAGCTGCTAACCAAAAGGTTAGAGGTTCGAGTTCACCCAGAGGCATCTCAGAAGAAAGGTCTGGTGATCTTTTCTGAAAAATCAGCCACTGAAAACCCTATGGAGCACAGTTCTTTTCTGACACACACGGGGTCACCATGAGTTGGAACTGACTTAACAACACTGGTTTGGATTTTATATACAGTGAGGTGGCCTCAGTGGGCTTCTAGAAGTCACTTTTTCTAGAAGATATTAGAGTGTTGGATGTATAGGCAGAGAAAGCCAAGAAGCATGTTGTTTCTGAACAAGACACCTATGAAGAAACTAGGACATCAGAGCCAGTGGGGCAGCGGCCAGCCCTCAGGTGCTGCTGCAACCTGTCACGCCTGCAGCCACCCGCAGCCTCCGCTTTGCTCGGTGACTTCTGGGCATCTTCTCATGACTTTCCAAGATGGGCACCAGCGCTCATGATGGACATGGGCCCATGACCTCCCCCCATGGTGCAACAGTCTCCATGGGTAAAAGGCAGGAATCTGGAGCCCTTCAAAACCCTAAGAAGCAAGCTAAAGCAAAAAGCAAATAAAATGCCAGATCACTGTAGGAAAAAGAAAGGCTGATCCCAAACTATGATCACTTCAAATGGTTTTCAGCAAAAAAAAAAAAAAAAATCTGTCTCTTTTCCTGCCTTTCTCTCTCTGTACTCTATTTTCACGGCAGCAAAAACGGACCTAAAATTATCTCAGGTCATTTCAGTTCAAGTCAGAAACATCTTAAAAGGGTTCTGAGTGACACCTTCAAGCACATTACCTGCATCTTGCAGGCTGGTTATTTATGACGACCTGGGTTCTCTAGACCCTGTCAACATGGAGGCCAAATAGCATTGGCATGAGAGTCTCCCGTTCCACTTAGCAGACTCCTGGGTGTGAGGTCCCAACTCCTGGCTGCTCTGCACAGCTGGGCACTGCTGCTGTGCTGCAGCAGAACCGTCTACTGCCTCACCCTGGCCTCCCATCCCCAGCTGCCACATCTGGCTGTCCCAATGAGCCGCTGGCCTCACCTGCCCTGCGAAGAGTCCACAGACACCAATGATGCAGAGGATGTTGAACACGGCTGAGCCCACGATGGTCCCGACGCCCACGTCGCCCTTTGTGATGAAGACCCCTGAAACATAGACCCGTGTCAGCTGCTGCAGCGGGGTGCACATGGGGAGACAGGGGAGCAGCAGAAGGGACAAGTTCATGTAAAGGAGAAGTGTCACTTAACTAAAAACAATGATATTAATGGAACAGGAGGCTGATGCTTTGCTCACTGGGGCCTCTGGATTTTCATTCCCTGGTAGTGGCAGAGTTGCAGGGTTCCCACTGGAAGGCCTGTGTCCCCAGAGCCCCGTCCTTCAGAGGGAGGGCTGAGACGCCCCCACGTCATCACCTACCTATGACAGACGTGAAGAGCTCTGGCGCCGAGCTGCCGGCCGCCATGAACGTGGCCCCAGCCACATCTTCACTGAGGTGCAGGCGCTATGGGAAAGCAAAGAAAACACGGAGGAGTCAGGATTCTATGTGGGAACAGAGGTGACTGGGACCCCGAGTCCCCGCGCCCTGAAAAGCAAAGGCCAGGGCTTCAGTGACAGCATGGGATGAGTCTGGGGCAGAGCTCAGGTTAGCCTCCACCCACCTCCTCCCAGAGCCTGGCCGCACCTGTGGACCACTGCCGGCCAAGCTCCTCTCCCGGACTTCCTTTCTCAGGTGGGCAGGACCAGAGCAAAGACTGCATGTCCACACGAGGGGAGTGGGCTTCTACAAGGCCATACAGCACGTGGCGGGATGAGGCAGCCCTGAGCGCTCACTTCCTGTCTAACAGCAGAACTGCTCAGTGATTTTAATTTTTTAAAAGGCATCAATAATCCAGATTTTTGTGGAAAACATCCTGAGTTTTGACATGCTGTGTGATCTACAGGTTAAATGAGGCTCCTGGTAACCAGTCTGGAAGCCCTGATTCTAGAGGGACACTCTGTGGAGGCTTTGGGGGTAAGTGGGTTGCTCTCCTGAACCCACCTCTCTGTCCTCAGTGCTGACTTGAAACTCCAGGGGAGGAACAGTGGAAGCGGGTGTTGATGAGGCATCAGCCCTGCCAAGACACTACACAATCTAACTCTCCACGTTACCCTATTGTTAAGCCGAAAGTGGTTTGCAAGAAGACAGGTACACACTGGAGGTTGTATAGCATGTTTGCATCTAATCAGGGCCCAGAAGGTGAGCTGCTGTCAGTGAAGAGCCAGGCCTCTTCACCTTCCAGCTAGGAGGGACTGGTTTCCGCTGACTCCTTCCCTCTCCAGCTGCTCCACCGCTGCACTCCCTCCCTCAGCCATGGATGGGCAGCACAGGCTCAGATGCAGCCCAAGGCGCCACTGCCTGACCTGCATCTGCTGTAGCCTGTAGCTCTCACAGAGGGTTTGGACCTGGCTCCTGGGTTCCTTTGCTCTCCACTGAGCAGCTAAACTGCACATGGGGTGCTAAGCAGACCCAATGATGAAAGGTGTGCTGTGTGGGGTGCCTTGTGCTAGACTTTCTCCAGGGCAGGGGCCTGTGAGGAAGGTAAGGAAACAGAGCTCACGGCTCTGAGAGTGGTTGCAGGCACTGGCCATGAGTCTTGCATGGCTGAGGCTCTCTGTAGCTTGGGTCCTTGATGAGGTGGAGTCCAAACCTGGGTTGAGGTCATCTCCAGTTCCTCTCTCCTCTTCATCTCTGCATCCAATCATGTCTCCTACACCCGTTCCTCTCTCATCTCTAAATCACTTCAGTCCTGGCAGCATCTCACTGGGGTCTTAGAATCACTGGCTAGGGGATCTCCCTGCCTCTGGACTCCTCCCATGTACCACGACACAGCTGTCAAAGGCCTTCCCTAGCTCCTTCCTGAGTACTGAATAACTCCTAACACTCGCCTGGCGCTCAGGGCTCCCCACCCAGATCAAGCCCCATGCATCACCGTCCCTCGGTCCTATGGCTCAGATTCTTCTCTGCCTCAAATACCCATCCTTGAAAGGCTCCACCATAGAGATCCTCCCTCCACCAGCTGCTCCAGTCCTGCCCTGCACACGCCCTTCTCAGGTGTCTCTCTCTTCCATTTTCTTTCCTTCCCCTCCCCATGTTTTTTTCTGATTTCCCCTTTATAGTATTTGAGACTGAGTGAGAATTTTCCCCTTATGCTACGATTTGTCGAATGGTGTGGTTCTCTTTCCCAACTTATTTCTCACTAAATCTGAAAACGACACCCTTCTGAGCTCGTCCCCTCCCACCCCCAACTTCAGTTTAAGAACAGCAATTTGAATTTGAACAGCAATACACAATATCACATCACTGAGAGGTGATTAGGTAAAGCAAAGAAAGGTAAACAGAGGCCAGAGTCAGAGAAGCCCTCTAGGCAACTGTGGGTCAACTCTTACCACGATCCTCTAATCTTCTGAGAAAGTGTATCTCCACATCTCTCAGAAGATGTAAACATACTGGGTGTCTGAATATATGTAAACTCTTCCCTCATCCCACCCAGCCTTCACAGACATACTGTTTCTGCAGTATTAGGACTGTTTAAGGTGGTGGTGACCCGCGTCTTCAGAGGAGACAGGTAGGGACCGTGCTCCCTTGCTAAACTGATGTTGCACATTCCACAGGACCAAGGGCGTGGGAGCCGGGAGAGCTCTGGAAGACGCCATCCAAGCTGACGCCTCTCGGGTTTCTATCCCCCGCCCCGCCTGGCTGTGGGTCCCACAGGTGGACTAGTTCTAAGGCGAAGCATGGCCCAGCCCAGCTTTGTCTTTGCCAGTAGGGTAGAGGTGAGTGTCAAGAGGCGGGGAGGCCAGGCTGATGAGTTCAAACCTGGGCTCCACCTTTAACTAGGTGTGTGACCTAGGGCAAGTTACTCAAAGTCTCTGAACCCTGGTTTCCTGGTCTGTAAAGAAGGGATAATAATAATTGCCTTGCAAAGTTCCAGTGGTGATTAAAGAGACGTATGGCTACATTAGCACTACATACATTGATCTACTGAGCTGTTTCTGGCACATCCCAGTTGCCATCAAGTCAACTCCATGTGTGACCCCATGTGTGTCAGAGCTGAACTGCTCCACAGGGTTTGCAACGGGCTGATTTCTCAGAAGTAAACTGCCAGGATTTTCTTCTGAGGTGCTTCTGGGTGTACTCAAACTGCCAACCTTTCAGTTAGCAGCCAAGTGCGTTAACTGTTTACACCACCCAGGGTCTCCTTTGGCATATCAGGGACCCAGTAAAACTTAACATTTTTTTCATTAAACATTTTCCTTCCTTTGCATTGTTTCCTCTCCTTGTATCCTTAAAAACAAACAAAAAGCCTCACCCTTCCCCTCTTTTTCTGCCATTTCTAGGTCTTCGGTTGCCTCTTTCTATAAGTGGGTGCGTAGGAGGCTTGCAGACTGTGTGGGCCCTCGACTGAGCAGAACACATTCTGATAACTGTATTTACATTGCTAGGATACGGTCTTAACTATACTACTAGAAAGAAAAAAAAAAAGTTGTGTAGGAGAGAGTGACTGTGCTTTGCATGAAGAAGAAATCCCCAAATGGTTGTACTTCAGATATTACATATTACACCAATTACAGGTGCTTAACTGCTTCCTCCTCTTCTAGATAAGGCTGACCCTGCTCCCATGTTAAATCATGTCGATCAAAGGGACTCCACCCTGCCCACTGTCCACCTGTCCACCTCAATAGCGTCTCACTCTCTTCCTTCTCCTGCTTCCACATTCCCATTGCTTCTCTGTGGATAGTGAGTAACGATTCATTTTTAGCTTATTTTTTTTCAAAGTACAAAAAACTAGCAAGCTTCCAGGATACAGAAGAAACTGCTTAAGCTAGTGGTTCTCGTGGTGCCTAGATCAGCAGCGTCGGTATCACCTGGGAACTTGTTAGAAATGAAATTCTTGTTCGCCCACCCTTCCCTAAGACTTCCTGAGTCAGAAACTCGGGGGTGAGAAGGGAAGGGTCAGCAAAGTTTTTGACGTACTGGCTTAAAGAAACCTGAGTTCCAGATGGGAGGTGTGCCTGGGAGAGATCCCTTCTGAAAACTGGGATTCTGAATTAAGAATAAAATAAAATGGAAAGCTTCCAGATAAAGGAAACTACATTTCAAAACAGACAAAGAGATGAAAGAGGTGAGGAATGAAAGAGTCCTTGGTATGTTGAATATTTCTGATGAAAGGGATTTAACTCAGGATTCAGCCTGGCGTTCACTATAATGCCTTCTCACAGGGTCCCTTCCTGATCTCAATGTCCAATTCTTTCATCTTTCACCTCTGGGGCCTGGGCTTTGAGCATTTCTGTGCAGACAGAGAGGAACCTTGACTGAGGTGTGTGGCTGCAGGTGTCTGACTCTGCGAGGCCCTCGTAAGTCACTGAGGAGGGCATGAGAGCAGAAGGAAACAGAGGAGAGAAGAGTGGAGGGGATAGAGAGAAAGGAAGAGTAGGGTTTAAAAGAGGAAAAGAAAATGGGGAAGAAGTACACAAATAGTGCTTGTAAGTTATGCTCAATAGAGCAGGAGAAAGCTGGTCGTTGGGGTTAAATTCTAACTATTGATCAGGACCACGGGATTCCAAGCAGGTTTATAGAGACCTACACTGACATTGTAGCCCATGACTCTCCAGCATGCTGGTTCCTGGCATTCCCAGAACACGCTGCAGGCGAGGGCACTCGCAGAATCTTGGCTGAGGGGCCAGGGCCTGCCTTGGGCCTGTGGGTCCTGAGGAGGAGTGGAACCTGGGGCTCAGGCACAAGGAGAGCAAAAGCACGTACCTCACAGATCTTCTCCAAAGAGGGCACGAAGAAGTCATCACACACAATGGCCAGTGCGTAGAACATGTACATGGCCTGAAAGAGAGGAGAGGAAAGGCAGGTGAAGTTGGTTAGGGCAGAGTGGTGGAGGAGAGGGTCAGGTCTTCCCCACAAGCCAGAGAGCTTCAGTAATGTCCTCCATCATGATGAACTCCACAGCTTACTCATAGTGAGGACCAAGTCTGCGAGGCCCTCCATGTGTGACCTGACCCTGGCTTCCTCTCTGCCCTCACTGTCTACTACTCTGCCCCTTGTCCATCTCCTTGTCCCCCACACACATCATGTAGTCTCACCTGGGATTTTTAGAATCCCAGGGCCCTTGAACTTGTTCCCTCTACCAGGGAACACTCTTCCCCAGGTGACACCTTGGTTCACTCCATCATGCCCATCAAGTGGCTGCTCAAATGTCAACCTAAGCAAAGGGCCTCGGACACCTCTCTCTCCCATTTTTCTCTATCCCACTTATCCTGCTTTATATTTCTTTATCACGCATATAAACATTACCTTGTTGCTGTCGAGTCGATTTCAACTCATGGTAATCCCATGTGTTACAGAGTAGAACTGCTCCATAGGGTTTTCTTGGCTGTAATCTTTGTGGAAGCAGTTAGCCAGTCCTTTCTTCCATGGAGCCACTAAGTGGCTTTGAACTGCCAACCTTTAGGTTAGCAGCTGACTGCAAACCAACTGCACTACCCAGTGACCTTATATAAACACTAGACATATTCTGTTCAACTTATTTATTTGTTGTCTGTCTCCCTGATTAGAAGTTCATGAGGAAATAAACTTTATCCATCTCATTTTCTGCTGTATCCCCAGCCTTAGCACAGACTCTGGATCATACCAAAACAAACAAAGAAACAAACCCATTGCCGATGAGTCACTTCTGACTCATAGCAACCCTAGAGGACAGAGTAGAACTGCCCCATAGGGTTTCTAAGGCCGCAAATCTTTATGGAAACAGACTACCACAACTTTCTCCCACAGAGTGGCTGGTGGGTCCCAGCCGCCAACCTTCTGGGTAGAAACCAACTGCTTACCCACTGCACCACCAGGGCTCCCTCCTGGTTCATAGTAGGTGCTTGCCTCCAAGTCTTTGGTCAGCTCTGGCCAAAGGGCATCCCTTGAAATTCTACCTTCTGACCAGAAATCACCTCTTCACCTTATCCCACTCATGTATCCAACCTCCAATCCTTCCTAACAAGACACCAGTTTTGTTCAAATATCCACCATGGCACCTCTGGAAGGTGACTCACCCTTCTCTCCAAAAGTAGATACTGACTGGTGTAGGCCAATCAGTGTGCAGTATTGCTCTAGTGATGGCTTTGTTTCAGGGGTGGGCATGTGACCTAAGCTAGCACAATCAAATGGAAGGAAGGGGCCTATAGCCCTTGCCAGAGGGAGAGGTTTCTCACCATCTGGGGCTAGATGTGGGCAAGGAATCTGGGAGCGCTAATATTGCTTCTGGCAGCCATATGGAGGGAAAACCTGACTTGAGATGAAACTGACCCTGAGTCAGACACCACCTGCGCCCTTAATGACATCGTTGCTTCTGGATTTCATAAAATAACAGAAGCATTGTTTAAGACAGTTTCATTTGGAGTTTCCCTGTTACTTGCAGCCCAAAGCGTCTCACAGAGGTAGTGACTCATCCTTCCAGTTCCAGCACCCTCAGTAGTGGACACCTCTCTCATTTTTTGATCTTCCAGCATCTTTTTCTTTTGAGAAATGTTCCATGGGTGGGAGCCTTCAGTCATACTTCCCCACCTCCCATACCACAGGGAGTAGGCACATGATCCAGGCTGGCTACCAGAATGCCCCATTCCCTGCCACACAGTTGCAGGTGGACAAAGGTCTGTTAGGGGACAAGCAGGTATTAATAGAGAAGCTGGGAGAGAGGTACTCTCTCCTTATGAGATAACCAGTGCTAAAGCTACCCAAGGCTGGAACTGAGGGAGGCTGCTGCCATATATACAAAGTCTACCTGAGAATGCAGCTTACACAGTAAGAAACCAAACCAAGACATGTGACAAGTAGAGAGAGAGAGAGAGACAGACACACTGGTACCCAATGGTACCATCTGAACACTGGCTCCAGCCTAGTCTAAAACAAAAATGGACTTTCCAATTTCATGAGCCAATAATATGCTTCCACATTTAAGCTAATTTGAGTTAATTTCTGTCACTTGAAACTGTCCTTATGAAGCCTTCTGTAACAACCCAAGCCTGAAATGATCCCTCTGCCTCTGACTCTAGCACTCATTTAGCCACCCATCCCCTCCCTCCTTGTTTCTTTTCACATGTACGTGTTTGGTCTCTTCAACCAGAATGGAAGATTCTAGAGTACATCCTAACACTTGATTCTGTGGAAATATCAGAAAAGTGCACAAAGATAAATGCACAGTGATATTCATTCCAAGACTGCAGATTTCAACACTGCTGATGTCAGATGGATCCTGGCTGAAAGCAGAGAACACCAGAAAGATATTTACCTGTGTTTTATTGACTATGAAAATGCATTAAACTGTGTGGATCATAACAAATTATGGATAACACTGCAAAGAATATGAATTACAGAACACTTAATTGTGTTCATGAGGAACCTGTACATAGACCAAGAGGCAGTCCCTCAAACAGAACAATGGGATACAGCATGGTTTAAAGTCAGGAAAGGTGTGTGTCAGGGTTGTATACTTTCACCATACTTATTCAATCTGTATGCTGAGCAAATAATCCAAGAAGCTGGACTATATGAAAAGAACGTGGCATCGGGATTGGAGGAAGACTCATTAACAACCTGCAATATGAAGATGACAATCTTGCTTGGTGAAAGTGAAGAGGACTTGAAGCACTTACTGATGAAGATCAAAGATCACAGCCTTCAGTATGGATTACACCTCAACATAAAGAAAACAAAAATCCTCATAACTGGACCAATAAGCAACATCATGATCAATGGAGAAAATATTGAAGTTGTCAAGGATTTCATTTTCAATCAACACCCATGGAAGCAGCAGTCAAGAAATCAAAAGACGCATTGCATTGGGCAAATCTGCTGCGAAAGACCTCTTTAAGTGTTAAAAAGCAAAGATGTCACCTTGAAGACTAAGGTGTACCTGACTCAAGCCATGGTGTTTTCAATCGTCTCATATGCATGTGAAAGCTGGACAACGAATAAGGAAGACTGAAGAAGAATGGGCGCCTTTGGATTATGGTGTTGGCGAAGAATATTGAATATACCATGGAATGCCAAAAGAATGAACAAATCTGTCTTGGAAGAAGTACAACCAGAATGCTCCTTAGAAGCGAGGATGGCAAGACTTTGTCTCATGTACTTTGGACATGTTATCAGGAGGGATCAGTCCCTTGAAAAGGACATCATGCCTGGTAAAGTGAGGGTCAGTGAAAAAGCGGAAGATCCTCAATGAGATGATTGACTCAGTGGCTGCAACAATGGGCTCAAGCATAACAACCATTGTGAGGATGACGCAGGACCAGGCAGTGTTTTGTTCTGTTGTACACAGGGTCACTATGGGTTGGAAATGACTCAACAGCACGCAACAACAACAATAAAATATACCATATTGGCTGGGTTGTATAAACTATGATTCATCATAAAATGAAATAATGGTAAAGAAAGACGGTATAGAGCTGTATTTAGTGACAAGGAAAGGCATTCGTGATACATTGCTAAATAAGAAATGTTATAAAATAGTATGCAATTGCTTTTTTGTTAAATTGTCTATGTATATATGTGTATACGTATATTACACCCACACACACACACACACACATTTGCATATAAGAGTTTGCAAGACCATTAAACAAGATAGAAGCTATGTTTCTCCTTCAGTTGGTGTGACTCTATCGGTATTTTATAATTCCCATCTGTATCTTCATGAGGATCCCTGGTGGTGCAGTGGTTAAGTGTTTGGCTGCTAATCGAAAGGTCAGCAGTCTGAACTCACCAGCTGCTCTGAGGGAGAAAGATGTGACAGTCTACTTCTGTAAAGATTACAGCCCTGTAAACCCTATTGGGCAGTTCTACTCTGTCCTATAGGGTCGCTAGGAGTTGGAATCGACTCGACAGCAATGTTTTTTTTTTTAATATCTGTATTTTCCTATTTTTCACCCTGATTTTGTATTTCTTGCATGATTTTTATAGGTGGTGGAGATTTCAGAAGTAAAGACTCCGTTTTACACTTTTCTAATCTCTGTGGAGCCTGGGAGGGCTGGCAGGCAGAGAAAGCTCAAAAGTAACTTTGCATTGATTCATCTATTCATAATCTGTACAAAATCATCTGCCTGTGGGTTTCTGAAATGTCAATTTTTAAAAAAATTAATGCTGAATGTGGATGAATCACAAAATACATTCCCATACTGAAATAGACTCAACCTCTCTTTTGCCATACAGGTCAGTTAATTTAATTACATGCAGGTTTTATCATTATTTTGGAAAGGATGCCCAAACTTAGTAATTGGAACCCAGGATAGCATATTTGTGAATTAACCAAGCTCTAAATAAGCTGTTCATAGCTGACATCTCAACACACTGAAACAGAGTCCATAGATCATCTCTCAGTACCAAAAAAAAAAACTAAACCCACTGCTGTCGAGTTAATTCTGACTCACAGCAAACCTAAAAGACAGAGTAGAGCTACCCAATAGGGTTTCCAAGGCTGTAATCTTTACAGAAGCAGACCGCCACATCTTTCTCCCTTGGAACAGCTGGTGGGTTCGAACTGCCAGCCTTCTGGTTAGCAGGCAACCTCTTAACTACTGCTCTACCAAAGCTCCATAAAGATTACAGCCTTGGAAACGCTATGAGGCAGTTCTAGTCTGTCCTATATGATCGCTATTAGTTGAAGTTGACTCGACAGCAACGGGTACTCTTTACAGAGGCAGACTGCTACATCTTTCTACAGCGGACCAGCTAGGGGGTTTGAACTCCCAACCTTTTCGTTGGCAGCCAAGTGCTTTAACTACTGCGCCAACAGGGCTCCTTCATCTCTCAATACATTCCAATATTACCTACTGATC